GAGAATATTTGTCATTGTTCAAATGATAATAAACATTAGCATAAAGCATATTTGTCCACTCATATGTTGATAAGAATATTAAAAACTTGAAAAATATTCTTCCAATGTACAGTTAGAACAGATAAAAAATGTGCGATTAATTTGCGATTAACTATGGACAATCATGCGATTAATCGCGATTAAATATTTTAATCGACTGACAGCCCTAATTAATATACAACATCATAACACTGACAGGCAAAAATGTATCATCATGTACATCTGTATCTTCTGACTGTTATTGTACTATAGCAAATATTATCCTCATTCTAATGTTGTGTTATCTAAAGGCTGTAGAATGAAGGGACGAAATACAATTTTGTATTTTGCAGTAGCGGTAAAAAGTGGTTTATTATCAAATGTAGAACTGTGCAATGTAAACAATCGACTAAAATACAATAAGATAAAAATAGTAAGTAATAGGCCCACAATAAAAAAAAAAAACGTAAAATAAATTCTTGCGTCCAGGTGAGATGAAAATGAAAAATAATAGCCGTCTGTGTGTGCCTTCTTCACTTCCGTTTAGCTTCTCATGCACTGATTCACTAAGCTGAACAGCCAATCAGAGTGATTTATTTTGTCGACAGCCTCGGGAGCGGAAGGTGTCGGCACGGCCAAAAAGACACGACAGTGCGGGACACACCAATCTGAGTTGGGCGACAGGACGCTCATCGACGGCCAGACATCTATCGACGGCCGAAATCGGCTCGGTGTGTCCGGGCCTTAACAGGTATTAAGTTAGAGATAGAACATAGAGGGGAAGCAAACACATTGTGTGGAGTAACTTAATGGCTCCATGCGAACACTTGGAAAGGTTCAGTTTGAGGTGTTGCTAACACCCTTTTCGTCAGCAGGTCACCTTGCTCACAGCTTTCGGCTTTTCACTCCTCAGTGTTGTGACTCCATCAGTCTGTAAATCACAGAAAAGGTTCCCTCCGGTAAACTGAGGATAAAGGGAACGGTATTAAATAAAAACAGAGGGGAGAATAAGTAAAAGGAGGAAAGTTACCTTTCAAAAGTTTCTTAGACTTTGGTAATGCCTGATTTCTTGTCAAGTTATTTAGTGAATTAAAAATATAATAACTGTATATAAAGTTGCAACTTGGAACACTGTATCTAGGCAAAGCTGTGACTTTAGAACAATGCTTACTTAACTACATTAAAATGCAGATTAGTAAAAAGTCTCAATCCATGCCTTGTCAAATCTGTCTGACAAACGATAAGCAAACGGCCTTTGAAATCTTGTTATCTGAATGGTGTTCAAATGGTCACGGTTATGCTTACATTGAACCTGCTTCTTGAACACTTTAATCTTAATTAAGCATAAAAAAGTCAGCAAAGTTATTGTTTATACACATAGATATCTACATAATGTGTACATTTAAATTTGACTTTGCATTTGTTCGCCAAGCAGCAACTTTCTATTTTGCGAAAATGCAGATAATGCCTAGGTGTTACGAGACAGGTAGTTGCCGTCACAGAACGCTAGCTGTCTACTGTATCCAACTCCCAGGAAGTGTGCCAGCCGTTGAGGCACATTTTCATAGTGACCAAACGGTGGTACTGCATTGCTGTGCTGGTCGGCGGAGCAGAGGTGGGACTTAAGGAAAACTCTATGGGCCAATCTCCCCGGATGATCCGGTTATTTTGTTACTCCAGTCACTTCATTTTTGGCTACAAATGCCACTGAGCAACCTTCATCGGAAAGCCAGGGCCCGCCTCCAAGGCAGCTGATTGTTACAGCCTCTTTAAGAGTAGCAGCCGCAAGGGGTTTGAGAGTTGATCTGTGTACGAAAGTGATGGCCAAGGCGAAATGCGCATGCATGAAAAGTGGGAGAAAAGGATAGAGAAGGTAGTCAGCAAAGAATACTATTAACTGTGAAGAGCAATAATAAACAGAGGTTTTTCCAACGGTCAGAACTTACCGGTGTGCATTCACAACTACGGTTTCGGTGCCTAGCATTAAAGAAGGTAACATGATATTGCCCTGACCTACCTTGAGAATACTGGGCTTTTGGCCAGCTGTGAAAACGCTTTGCCAAATCTCCTGGTCTCCAGCAGAGGGCTTTTATCAGCCGGCGGAAAGCTCCATCCATGATTGCCTCACCCAGGCCTATTCTTTATCTTGATAGCCAAAATGTATGAGGTTTTGTGACAGCTGACATGGCGATTGGCCACAGCTCCCAAAACTGAGCTTCACGACGTTGGAATCTAATTCACACAGCCTGTCCTCCTACAAAAAACGACCAAATAGGTAGATTGTTCAGCAGCTTATTACGACCCATAGCCACGTTTTAAAGTGTAGCACCTCTAGTGGTCTTGTAAGAAACAACATGCTCCCATCTATTCATTTCTAGCAGCAGTTTATTACGACCTATTGTCATGTTTTAAATGTAGCAACTCCTGGCGGATCGTAATCCTGTGAACTTTAACCTTGGGCATCAATAAAAGTGCGACGAGTGAAGAAGAAGAAGAAGAAGAAGAAGAAGAAGAAGAAGAAGAAGAATTGTTAAAGAACGTCACAGCTGTACAACTGGTAAATCTGATTTCTGTATTTCATTTGATTTGTTTACGCTTTTAATTAATCCTGTCGTTTTTCTACAAATCATGTTTAACCAAGATATTTCAGTTTTACGTTTTAGGGCTGGCCCGTGGCATAGGCAGTAAGCGAATGCTTGTTGTTAGCAATAGCATGGCTGTAAAGGTTAGCACTTAGCTTAGGTATAGATGCAAAGGTTCTTCTACAACAAGTTGGAGGGAGAGTTTTCTCCTTCGCACAAAAGGAGCTAAAATCTTGCCTAAAAACAAAACCCTTTGTAGCACGTGACATAAAACATAACAATGGCAAAAGTAAGTATATTCAGCTAACCAGACCAGGACATGATATGACCTTAAACAATGCGAAAGGAAATGGCATTTTAATAATAATAATAATAGACATTTACATGGCGCTTTTCATAATGCACACACTTTTTTTTCTTCTAAATGTCACCTAACATGTTGCATTAATGATAGTTAAGGTAAGTTCAACACTTTAATATAATCAGGTCATAGTAGTTTTACTACTTTAAACATTAGCTAATTCAACTTAAGTTTTGTGAAGCCATCACATCTAGTTAAAAAGAGAAATATATTTCCCTGTAATTACTGATTTACCTGGGACTTGATTGACATTGGTGCCTGTAGTTTTATTTCGACAAATGTTTATTTATGAAGCAACAATTAAATTACATGGTAGCACAACTAATCTGAGTTCATCTGTTTGTTTGTTTTCAGGTCATCCATCAATTCAATTATTTGAAGTAGCCTATTATCATAACAAAATCAACGGTTCTTTTCAGAGCCATATTCTTCTTCCTCCTCTCTTTCACCCCTCTCGTTTTCTTGTCTTTTGTTTTTCTCTCTCCCTGTATGTCAGTCCATCCTTTGTTTGTTGTTGCCCTTTTTACCCTCACTTAAAAATGGCATCCAAGCAACTGAATGAATGGCTAGAGCAGTGGTTCTCAAAGTGGGGGGCGCGCCCCCCCTGGGGGGCGCAGAGGCATGCCAGGGGGGGCTCGAGAGACCAGGAGGAAAAATTGTTATAACAAAAAAAAAATATTTAAAAAAAAATCATAATTTGAAAAATTATTGATTCGAAGATAATATGATGCAGTACAGTACTATTACGTCTGGGTCTCTGTGTTTCATTAAAGCTCGGCTCTGTGTGTGTGTGGAACGAGCCATTTTGTGTGCGCGAGAGAGAGAGCGCACCGGTACCGGAGATCGTTGTTGTTAGCTTCTGGTGCTAGCGAGCTATGCTAACGGATATAAGGAGTCTTTTCAACAACAAAGTGGAGGAGAGTCCTCTCCTGTCAGACTGAGAGACTCAGTGAGCTAAAGGACTCTCTCAGTGGATCTCAAACGTTTTGGTCACCATTAATGTAAACAATTATTTCCGAGGCACACGTTTATATGATCATTATTGTTTTAAAAAAATAAGAGAATAAATGAAAAACAGGTATGAAATACTATATGACACTAAAACAACAATAAAGTTTAAAAGGGGAGTGATTTGTAAAATATCCATAAAGAAAAAGTAAATCTGTTCACAGTTCTGTTTCATCTGGGTGTTGAGAGAGGTATCCATAGATCTCTTCATTTTGCTCTCAAAGTGCACCAGATTGATGCTTTTAACTTCAAGATTGAAAAAAATATCTTCCCGGGGGAGCTTGCCCCCGGACCCCCCTATGTGAGGTCCACACACCACCTATAAAAATAGCACTTTACCCCTGCTTACACCTATATGCCGTGAGCTGATTATCGTGCCTTCATTGTAACAGTCGCGGGTAAACTGTGTATATGCGTGTGGAGTGTTGCAGTAGAACATTCTGCTGTAGCGACCGGTACATTAATGGGAAACCCTAAATGTTTGAGCACCCTCTATGAAACGTCAAGCTACCCCACAGAACCCCCAAAATAAATCTCTGGCGCCGCCACTGAGCCTGACTATTTGTGTTGGGGGGGCCCGACTTTTTTTTTTCTCCAAAGGGGGGGCCTGACAGAAAAAGTTTGAGAACCACTGGGCTAGAGGCAGGGAAAGCCCTCGCAGATGAGTTGGCAAATAAGGCAAGTACAACATTATCCAAATATGTATTATAACATTTACTCAAATGATAAAAGACACACACATTACAAAGATGTGTGTGCAACAATTAAGGGAAATATCTAATCTCTTTTATATATTAATATACCAAAGAAACCGAAGAAACCAAATAAAAGACCTGGATGGGAACATTCTACCCCAACATTGGAATAAGAATCGATCTGGTCTGTACAATATCATCTAGTTATAGTGTTTCATTAAGTTTTAATGTCGTTGGTCTTCAATAATGTTTCCTATATCATCGTACTTTGTTTATGCAGTTAAACCTTCCAGCTCTCTGGAGTCCCCAGAGGTCGAGGAGACACATGAGATTCCTCAGGTCCCAAGTCTTGGTATGCACAATGAATTCTTAAATTATCCTTCAACTTGAAATGTAGCTAATTGTTTATAGTATGTAATAGCTATGTTCATGATACATTTTAAAGTGAAAAGCCATGTATGGAATATCTTTTTTTAATTAAACTAAATTCCATGATTTGTTTTATATTTTGTTATTTTAGATCAACATCTTCTCACACTGAGAAACCTGTTGGGTTCTCTCACTGTCCCTGCATCATCAGAAGAAACACCCACTGTAACAACATGGACCCAAAGACAGTTGAAACGTGAACAAAAATTCAGAGCTGCAATGCCAGAGCTCCTTAATTTGAAATTGGCTGCAGAGATTGTCACTAAACGTTCCTGTCTCCAATGCAAAACTGCTGATGCTGTGGTCCGGTGCTTGGACTGTGTTCCACCAGGAACTCCCTTTCTTTGTCCGGCATGTGACCCAATTATCCATGGCAAAAATGTCTTCCATGACAGGGAAGCCATGATTGATGGGTTTTACAGACCTATTCCTCCCACATCCTTAGTGGTTGTGGATGAAAGTGGCCAATATGGACTCTGTGAACAAGGTGGGTTCAAATAGTTTATTACATATTCCCTTACCATGGTTTCCTAATGTGCACTACATATACAGCAGCATCATTTTCACCATGTCGGAAGTTTGCTTTAACTATTCAAATGTCTCAATTTGTATTGACTACATGTCCTAACATGCATATGAATCTCTGAAATTGTCTTTGCTGCAGTGTGTCTGCTTCCAATTCCTCCACCATCCCAAATCTGCTTTTGTGGTCCAAGCCAAGGTTTCACCAGGAAAGCAGACCGTGTTGGTGACTATCAATGGTTTGTTGCCACCAGAAGACGATGTGGTCAAGCAAAAATACAGGATTACTATTATACTATTGTCCTGCGTTGCATACTGTAGATACCTGTCAAATTGCACATTTATATTTTTTCTCAGGTCCATACAACGTTTGCCTGCCTTCTGTGTGCTGTCCAACTTGTTCCACCAAATGGTCCCCGAGCATAGGTGACTTGCTTGGATACAAATACTGGCCAGCAACCAGCAGCTGCAAAATTAGTTTTAAGTTTGATGTGTTCACATCATTCGAGCAAATGAAATTGGCCAGCCCAGCATTATCCCAGCAAGTATTTATAAAAATGCTTGAACATCGATCGTTTTCCACAAGAAGGGTAAGAATAAAATGTGGTTTTCAAGATTTTTGAATACCAAACTTTTAATTAACAAAATGAATACCATTCTTGTTTCCAGACAGGCAGAATCTGAGTCTCTTTCGGGAGTTTGCCTTCTGTAATTACAGACAAGAAGATCTGTGCCTGGTGGAGCCCTTTAAATGCCCAGCATGCACACCTGACATGCTGGCTATTGCTGTAGATGGCAAGAGAAAGCATTATCGCTTCAAGAAGTCCAGAGGGTCAGTGAAATCATATTGTCATTTTAGTTGTTTTATTGACTAAGCTGAATGTCTTTGCTGAAATGTTTAACTTTCCCCAATTTTCCAATTTTTTTATTTATTTTTATTTTCCAAAGTTTGTAGACCATCAGAAAACAATAGTTGGTTTGTAATTACACATACTTATATCAATCCAATTCATAAACATTATTGTATATGACGCCTGTAAAGTTAGCTCAACTTTAAAATGTTAAATGGTTGACGTTAGTTGGATATGTTGGAGCTAAGAACCAGCTTTGGATATAATTGCGTCATGATAAATGTATTAAATTGTCCAGGAACCTTTTTCTCTGCCTTCCTCTGCCCTATTCCATGCCCAGCAATATAAAGGATGTACTTTTATTTTTACCTTTTTACAAGAAGTCAGTAAACCTTTCACTAATGTTAAATAATGGTGACAAAAGGAATACACAAAATTACAGATCAAATTCACAAAGGCCTTTTCCACATTTATGAAAAATTGATAGCAAAAGCAAATTGCCCACATTAAATAGAGGACACAATCAAACTTATGTATGTATGATAATGTTGCTTACAATTTATTTCTCGAATTTGGCAGGACAGATGAACCGTCTCTATTTGATGGACTGTTCATTGCCCAGGACAGTAAAGTGTCTGCCTTTGTCGACAAAATCAGGAGCCAGATGACGATTGTAAGAATCTATTCAACCTACTAACCCTTTTATTTATTTTACTTAGCACAGGGTTAAATGTAACAGATTGTGTCTATTTCAGAAAAGTGGTCGTGATGTTTGTGGACCGGTAACATTCACAGCTTGCAGAGAAACCTCACACAAGTCCAGGGCCAAGGTGGACGAGGAAGGCCTGCAAATAGCTGTGTGCAGACATGGCATCTTGCTACAAGGCCTAAATCACTACCGTGGTGAAATATATGCCTACCCAATGTTCCTGCAGAAGGAGCTGGCTGAAGTTGCCTGCAGGTAGTTATAACTATTGCAAAATTCGAAGTGTTTGTGTGAAACGTGTTATCTATTTAATTCTTGCACATCCAGTAGATGTAAAGCAAAAAAGCATTCATTTGGATAAATGCTGATGTTGGTTACAAGGATTGTACTGGTAATTTTAAGGACCTGGTTTATCTTTTTACTATTATGCCAATTGATTTTGTCATTACAGGTACTGGCCTTATTTGGAGAAAATGGCAGCAAAGTTGCCTGAGCTCCAACCACTTACAGAGATTAAACCTTTTCTCTCTAACCCTAACACCCAGATGAAATACAACTGTAAACAGATTTACTTTTTCTTTATGGATATTTTACAAATTTTAAACTTTATTCTTTTTTTAATGTCATATAGTATTTTATACCTGTTTTTAATTGATTCTCTTATTTTTTTATAACTATAATGATCATATAAACGTGTGCCTCGGAAATAATTGTTTACATTAATGGTGACCAAAACGTTTGAGACCCACTGAGATAACCAGTGTGCAACTCGATTTTGACAGGAAAGCTACTGGAGACTTCCAGAATTGTGTGAGTAACATTCTGTCTTTAGACTTCTCTGTTTCAGTGTGTGTACTCTGTATCAATGCTCTGTAGTTGATCTGACTGAAATTGTGATTTTAAATCTCAAAACCGCTACAGTATCTGTCAGGCAGAAACTTGGGAACAAGTAATTTGACAGAAACCTTAAAAGTGAACTAACTGACTGCTAGGGTTAACTTTGATTTAAACATTTGTAGAATACTAAGAGCTTTATTGAGTAGGTGTAACTGTATTAAGGGTTAAACTCATAACTTTATAACTTAGGGTTTAATGTAATTGACTTAAAAGACAATAACAAATCAGGAGGAAGCCAGTCTAGATTTCCTTTTGAGGGCCACCAGCTGCAGAGTTAACTAATTAAAGGGACGTTGCCCCACAGCTGTGAGAACTCAGCAATCAGGTGTCCATTTTAGGTAGCACTTTCCTGGAGCGTCAGCTCCAGCATCAGACAGGCTAAGACATTAGAGTCCTGCGGGAGTAAGACTGGCTAAGACATTAGAGTCCTGCGGGAGTCACGAGGGAGGCAAAGAGGAGGCAAATCCTACTCTGATTGAGCTAAGTATCGCTGGTGTTTTATTTTCTTTAGTTGTTTAGCCCCGCATGCTATAATCATGTGTATTTTCTCCATTCCTGTTTATGTGTCTTCTCGCAATTATCACTGGCCCCGTGTATCTCGTAATCGATATAACCGGCCTGCTCTCGTCTATCCCACATGCTCCACTGAGATCCTACATCTAGTTTCAGGCGGCCTGTGGAACTGCCAGTCAGCTGTTCCTAAGGCTGACTTCATCTCTGGCTACGCCTCCCTGCAGTCTCTGGATTTCCTTGCTCTCACTGAGACCTGGATTACTCCATCCAACACATCCACCCCAGCAGCTCTCTCCACAGCATATTCCTTCTCCCATACACCCAGACCAACTGGCAGAGGAGGTGGCACTGGTCTCCTGCTCTCTCCCAAATGGAGCTTTTCCCTCTTCAAGCTACCTAACTTCACTCCTTCCACCTTTGAATTCCATGCCGTCACAGTAACCCATCCTATACAATGAACCATTGTTGTTCTCTACCGTCCACCAGGCGCCTTGGGGGACTTCTTGGAGGAATTAGATCATCTCCTCTCACACATCCCTGAAACTGGTCCTCCCGCTGTACTTCTCAGAGACTTCAACCTCCAGACGGGGAAGATAGACGAACTAACATCTCTGTTAACCGCCTTTGCTTTCTCACTGTCTCCATCCCCACCAACTCATAAAGCTGGCAATGTCCTTGATCTCATATTCTCAAGGAACTGCACTACTTCTAACCTCTCTGTAAACCCGCTCCACACATCCGATCACTTCTTCATTTCATTCTCTCTACCCCTTTCCAAACATAACAAACTAATCTCTTCTCATCCTGCACCTGTCCGCCGTAACCTTCGTTCCCTCTCCCCCTCTACCTTTGCCTCGTCGGTGCTCTCAGCCCTCCCTTCCTCTGATTCGTTCCATCTCCTGCCTCCAAACTCTGCTGCAGAAACTCTCCTCTCTACTCTCTCATCCACTCTGGACTCGCTCTGTCCTCTCACATCTCGGCAGGCTCGTAAGTCCCCTCCTGCTCCCTGGCTAAATGATGCACTGCGTGCTAATAGAACCGTCCTTCGGGCAGCAGAGCGGAAATGGTGGAAATCCAAACACCGTGACGACCTCCTAACCTATCAGGCTCGCCTCTGCTTCGATCTCTCAGGCAAAAAGCACTTTCTTTCAAGATAAGATCCAATCTTCCTATTCCAATCCCAAACAACTATTTTCCATCTTCTCCACCCTCTTGGACCCTCCCAAAGCCCCTTCCCCCTCCTCCCTTCTGTCAAGCGACTTTGTTAACCACTTTGAAAAAAAGGTTGATGATATTCGCTCTTCTTTTTCTGGGTCACCAGACCCTCCTTTCACCCACACACTGACCTCCTTTTCCCCTCTCTCTCCAAGTGAGGTTCTTACCCCCATTACCTCTGCCCGTCCTACCACCTGTCCTCTGGCTGGAGGAGAGAGGAGGAGTCAGGCCGGAGGAGAGATGAGGAGTCAGGCCGGAGGAGAGAGCAGGAGTCAGGCCGGAGGAGTCAGACCGGAGGAGAGAGGAGGAGTCAGGACGGAGGAGAGAGGAGGAGTCAGGCCGGAGGAGAGAGGAGGAGTCAGGCCGGAGGAGAGAGGAGGAGGCAGGCTGGAGGAGAGAGGAGGAGTGAGGCTGGAGGAGAGAGGAGGAGTCAGGCTGGAGGAGAGAGGAGGAGTCAGGCTGGAGGAGAGAGGAGGAGTCAGGCTGGAGGAGAGAGGAGGAGTCAGGCCGGAGGAGAGAGGAGGAGTCAGGCTGGAGGAGAGAGGTACAGACAAGGGGTCCTTCTCAAGTCGGTTAAATGGATTCCTTGCGTCCCTCACTTGCGTCCTTTCCCTGCGTCTAGTCCCTCCCACCAGGGAAGCATGGAGAGACGCAAGGAAACCACGAGAAGCAGGGAAATGAGTTTTAAGAGCAATGGGACGTCCTTTCCTCCGGAGCGTCACGTGAAGCGACGTCCGTTTGTGATGACGCTGCACAGCTGATCGTCTGACAGCAGCTCTGTCCCCGTTGTTTTCACACACCCCCCGCCTCTGTTAGTACACATTTACTGACACAAACATTTGTATCATCTGTTGTAGACCCCAATAAATAAAATAAAATAAAACTCATTCTCAAAAAAGATAAACGCCATTCTTAAAATGTATAAACGAACAATAGTTTGATTAATATTGATTAGAGTGCACAAAAGAAATAAAATAATTGAGAGAAGAAAAAGAGATATGTTATCTATCAAAACCCAGTTAGATTAACATTCATTGGATTGCACACTTTGTTTGTTTGTTTGGATATGTAGCACATTAACATTTTAATAGCACTTAATGACTGACTGAATGGAAATGACAATAAATTAAAATGTAAAACGAAAAAAGCGATTATGAAAATGTTTCCAACAAATGAATAAAATGATTTTTGACCACTTTGTTGTTCAGATATATCACATATTTGTAACTAAATGAAACATGAATTGAAACAAAACACGGTATAAACTGAGGAGTGACTCCCGTGAGGTTCATGTGTTTTCTTCACTCCGCTGGGAAACTGCTCTCATGTCAAGAAGCATCAGATCAGTGCATGCGCTGCATCGTCCAATCAGTGAGCGATACACAGTAAGGGGGCGGGGCGAGTGTCTGAGGATTTCATCGGAGGATGGTCTGGTGGTTCCTCGGTTATAGCTCCTCCATTATCGCTCCTCGCTCCTCCGGCAAAAATAAGGCCATTGGGACGCTACTCAAGATGGCGCAGACAAATCAACTTCCGGTGAGACCGAGACCGAGGAGCGAGGAAATGAAAAATAAGAGAAGTGAGAAGGGCCCATGGAATCTGATCCTGGGTCTGCGGCCATTTCTGCCTGTGTGGTTGAAGGACCCTCAGGTTCAACTGCCAAAGTAACTTTTGAGAAGAAAAAAAAGTAGAGGCATGGTGAATAAATGACCAAGTATAATCCATTTACATTTATAATCTGAGTAATTACAGCTAAAAATGAAACTACAAATATTGATTGTTTTTTATGAATCAAGCATTTAAGACTTCAATGTTAGGATGAGAAAACCAGTGCAGCAATCCACCAATAGTTGTGCTGCTAAGCTTTTACGAAAAACATAGTCCCACAAAACGTAATGTTATTATTAGTATTGTTATCAGTATATAAGTAAGGGTGATTATTAGTTGATTCATTGTCAACTTTAAAATGATTGACCAGCTGTTTCTAGAATTGATTATCGTTTTGAGTAATCCTTTCATTAAAAACATGTCATCATTAGATTCTCACATGTGAACAATTTCTTTGTATTTTCCTTCTAGTTTAAAAGGTCCCATGTCATGGCCATTTCTACTGATCATAATTCCATTGTTGAGGTTTACTAGAATAGATTTATATTGATCAATGTTCCAAACTCACATTGGTTTCTCATACAGCATCTCTGTATGTGTATTCACTCTCTGTCCTAAACAGCCAGACTGTGAGTGTGTGTGTGTGAGGAGATCCGCGGAGCCGCGGCTGAGAAAAGATAAGGCTGAGTGTGTGTGTGTGTGTGTGTGTGTGTGTGAGCCGGTACGTCACTATACTCAGGAAGCAAACAATGTAAAAAGAGAAATCTCCAACGAGGCGTTCTGGGGCAGCACAGACAGGTCTTCTCTGTGTTAGAGTTTTACTCGCTACAGGGTGTGCTTTGAGGGTTTGTGACTCTGCAGACCGTTCACATGCAGAACAAGCTACAGAGGATGGGTAATAACCAGAAAAGCATGACATGAGACCTTTAACTGACAAAACAAGACATAACGACATATTTGTACTACTTGGTAAACAGTGATTCACATTTTTTTTTAAAACAAAATAACTGAGCAATTAATTTACAAAAAATGTTAACAGATAAATTGCTGAATTACGGATTTTTATACTTTACCATTAAGAAGGCTTTCGTAAATCCTCTTTATGGTAACAAGTGCATTGTTACCATCTTCTGTCTCAATTTGCCATGGACAGAGGCAATCGGCCACAAAACTATTTGTGCCTCTCTTGGCAAGAAGGAGGATGGGATGCCGCTCAAGAAGTTTCCATTTGTGGAGCTGGAACACAATGGACACAAAAAAAAACGAAATATTGTTTACATAACAGTTCTAAACATTTTCACACACCTAAAGCTTTTACAACTCCATTTATTTTTGCATACGTGAAAAATGCACTGATGTGATACGTGTGCACATTGAGGAAGGCACCCCACCATTAACCAGGTGTGATTTTAGACCCATTTTAGGGGAGCCACTAAAAAACACCATGAAAAAAAGCACAGGTTCACTTTTTGAGTTTTGTTTACATGGTTATTTTTATATGGGTCTATTCAACTCTCACATTCAGATATCTGAATAAGCTACATTTAGCTTTGAAATATGTCAGTAAGCTATAACCTATGTCATTTCAGATTCAAAGTTCTGCATTAACTCAAAATATTGATGACTAAAGCACTTCAGATGTAAAGCTGGTGTTACAGGTGAATTTTGAAATGACAGAGACTCTGGTAAGCTAAATTTTGGCAGATTTGAGCCAATGTTAATATATCTATATTCAGCCCAAACATTTTGTATCTTTATTTATTTTTTATTTATTATTTAGATCTTTACATTTGATTCTGTGACATTCTTGGTTTTACCATTTATTCAAAATGTGTATGATATTTTATTTATTTTACTTTTGGAAACCATAGTCACATAATTCTGTGTTTGCCATACCATGAAGGTCCAAAATAAAATATAAAACACCAAAATGCAGTTTCTTTTGTAAGATATAATTAGAATAAATGTACGTTGAAGCTCTGATTCTAGGAATCCCCACTGGCCTGAACTATGTTACTTCTGGTTAAGAAATAATGTTTTACTAAAACTGGGCGCCTGCAAGTACAAACTGTAAAGGAATATTTTGGTCTTGTTAAAGTATATAGAGTTTAGTGATTTGTCCTCGGGAATCTGTTTAATGGTTAAAGTGTATTCCTGCCTGTAATGTGATCCATAGCTTCTCAGGAAGACACAGGTCAAGAGGTCATCTGATGTCTTGTGGGGGAGAAGCTTGGCTCATGTGGGTTTACAATGCAACGAGTCTTTGTCTCGACATCTGGCATGCATTAAAGGAAAACCCGCGTGTTTTAGGGCCCTCCTCTTCTCTTTGTATAGATGGGTGCTTGGCGCTTTTGGGGCAGAGTTTGCTGGGATCTTACATGAGAACTGTGATATGCTGTGAACTCTCCGGCCGTTCAGGCTCTCAATAAATATCAGTGTATTGACAGGCGAATCCAGTTTCCCTCATTTGATGATGCGCTCAACATTGCTGCAAAGAAGTTTTTACTTCACACAAACACTATCTAACATCAGTTTGAAAAAATGTGTTATGCCTTTACAGATTTAAATACAACGGTGACAACAATTTTGCTTAACACATCTCATGAAGTGCAGTAATCATGCACTAGTCTGTACTCCTCCCATAAACTTAATTAAGAAATTTAGATTCTTTTAAAAAAGTAAATGAGGGCGACTGTTGGAAAGTATACATCAATTAAGTAATATAACAATTTGTATAAAAAGATTAAGATCAGGGATTATTTACACACTATTTTATGACAACTGACATCTGCAAGAAAAAAAAACGTACCAGTAAAGTCATAAACTTTGTTGACACTGTGGTTTTTTTGTTGCGTGGCCTTCCACTCCTGTGCAACCTTTTCCTTTTGCTTGGATAGTTTCTCCTTGTAGGGTTGGTTGGCACCACATTGCCTGCATTTCCTGCTGGCTACTCCTATTTTGTGTTTGCAAGTCTGGCACACTTTTTGAGTAGGCATCTGTAACAGAAACACAGATAAGGGAATAAAACAAATAAGAATACTATACTACAAATGTTTACAGGATTCATGTATTTTATTATATCGTGAAAAATCTTGTTAAAACAATGAACTCATGTTTTTTAATCTTTTAGATAGGATGAACAAAAATTACAAGAGTAAGGAAAACAATTGTTATACAGAGTCAGTCGCATGTTTAAAGTGACTGTTATGGACAACCCTAATCCGTCAATATCTGGTTGATCCAAAAGTTGATGCTCCATCATCACAGAACTAATACTAAAATCATCATTACCAGGGGTGTATTGCTAATTCTATAAGTTCCGCATGCGTGCACGCGCAGTTGTGGCTCGTTTTGAAGCTTATGTAACTACTGTCAATTAACACTCCAGCCAGAATCAACAAAGAATGGTCGTTTATTAAGTCTGCATTATTGAATAAATGTGTGATTCTTACAGTAAATGCTGGACACAGCTGCTTGATAGTTTATAAAGTTCCTTCACTGATCACTTAACTAACTCCCTCCTGCTGAGGTACAAAGGTTACTATATAAAAAGTGTGCACATTTATTTAGTATCCTATCCATGTGAATATGTTTTAAGGAGGGGTGGACCTCACATCCTCTAGGGGGGTCCGGAGGCCCCGGGAAGTTAAAAGCATCAATCTTGTGCACTTTGAGGGCAAAATTAACTAAATCTATGGATACATCTGTCAACACCCATATGAAACTTAACTGTATACATTTAAATAATTAAAAAAAGATAAGAATATGAAAATACTTTTTTTTAAATTTATCTTTGTGCATATGTAACTATTTACTCTTTTAAAAAAAAAAAAAGTATTTGTTGTATGTCCAATATTATGAATTGTAATGATTTCATCGATGTTTTACATTCATTCGATTTTCTTTAGGGTGCTGCGTGACGTTGAACCTGCGACATACAACCTGTGACCTATGAACCTGTATTTGTATGCTACCAATGGAGCTATTGAACCTAAGAACTTGAGGCCTGTTTCCGACTCCTATTGTGGAATATTACAATAATATAAAAGTGTGCCTTGGAAATATGTGTTTCCATATATGTTGACCAAACTGTTTCAGACCCACTGAGATAACTTAGACTAAAGTTAACTGTGTAAACATTACATTACCTACATTAGCCTCTCAGCCTATCCGTTATCATAGCTAGCTAGCACCAGATGCTAACAACCATCCCCGTTTTAGGTGCCGGAGCGGTGTTCCGGCAGCATTATACCCCTGATAACTCTTCACTTAATACATAAATAGTATTTAATATAGTTATAAAGAATGTGACGTGTGATAACATTTGGATAAACCGCATGAACCGATGGATCACATAACTTCCATGCTCACGTTAACGTTAGCTAATTTAGCTTTGCTATCATTATTCCTAGGTAAACATAGTAATCTTAGTCACTGTACTAGACGACAAAATAAATCTGACTACTCACCTTTATTAGCTTGTCTGTAGGAAATAAATGGATGTCAGTGATGCAGTGACGAGTCCAAAAAACCCCGGTGAGTTAGCATTTTACCACTTCCGGTTCCCGCTCGGAGTCTTCTTCTTCTTCGCTGCTAGAAATGAATAGGGGGAAAGACGCTGAAAACGCTGCTATGGGTCGTATTTGGGTCGGAAAACAATCGACCTATTTGGTCGTATTAGTTGGAGGACTTGTTGAATTCACACGTGTGTGTGACGGTACAGTCCATTGCTAAGTCGGCGCACTAAAAGTTTGCTTCGCGTTTATGTGAACAGACCATTAGCTTAGCATGCTTATGTTTGCTGATTTGCACTGAACATGATATACAGCTAAGGCTGATGAGAAAGTTATTAGTTTTAAAGGTATTTTGGTCATAAAGTAGTTGATCAATTCAAATTGTGAATGCCTACACACAACATAACAACAATACAAAAGTTGTAAAAGCTGTTTTGCTTTAAAACAGTTCTACTTTAGGCATATTGGTAATTGTTAGAAATTAAAATCAATGTTTTGATGGCATAATGTACCTTAAATGTACCTTTAGTTTAAATGCTGTTTTATACTGAAAAACCAGTTAGACTTTTATTCTGAAAATCCTTCACCTCCGGTTAGCATTTAGCATGAGGCTAATATACCATTTCCTATAGAGGTGAATTTAGCAGCGATATGATATGATGTTGCACACTGAAACCTACTGATTTCAACACTACAACTATAGACGTCGAGATATTATTATTGTTGGATATTAAATGAAGGTACAGTTTATTTGAGTACGTTATCGTTTACAGATGTGGGTAGCATGTCACAACATTCGGAGCGACCGGAAATCGAATTGCTGTGAAGGATTTCCTGTATTTTTTGGAGTGTTGATTACAGCGTTTGGAATGTGTTGAATGGAAAGTCATGAAAGAGTTAAGGAGGAGAAAAGGAGTGTTTAGATATATATTGAATGTACAATGTCTGTATACTGTGATATGTGTAACAACGGACATTAAATAGTCGGAGAGCCGGCCCCCAGGGAGGAGCCTGCAGAAGCTATATAACAGCAGCACCTGGGCGGTTCGGCCTCTTTTCTCTGCTAGCGAGGGCCAGAGGCAGCTGCTTTTCTGTCGGACAATATCCTGTTTGTGACTTTACCGCGCCTTTTTTATTAATTAAAGTACCAATTTGAAAACATCTCAGAGACTCCATTTAGTCTCCTTTTTAAGCTTCTCTTTCCTGGATGCGAGAATAACCATCACAGTTAACATAATAAAGCAAAATAAATTAAATTTGAGTAATACTAGCTTAATAAATGTAATTTAAATGGGAATGTGTTTTTTACTACACAGAATGAGTTGCCACTCAATGCAGTAACACATGGAGATTGGTATTGCCAGCCACTGTGAGCTAAATAAAAAGAAAGACAAAATAATGAGGAAATCTCTGCCATAAAGCTGCTCTTCTACCCAGGGTTCTCCTGTTTGACTCAGTCCACTGCTGATGGAAAACACCTTTGATACAGCGCCAGTTTCTCACTAATCCCAGGCCTTTGGCAATGGAGGTCAGTGGGATCAAACTGGTATAAAAAGAGAAACAAAGGCAGCTTTTCTTCAGCAGTCAATAACCTGGAACTCCATTAGACCTCCTGCTTAGCTGATATCCTGGAAACAAAGCCTTTCATTACTTTTTAGAATATTACTCATTTGAAGCGGGGTATAAACTTTGTTCTGGTGGTATTACCAGTGAAAGCAGGGGGGCTGTTGATGTCAAGGCTTGTTAGTTACTCACCAGTACTATAGATCCAGGGATTTTAGCTTAAAGTGAGATTTTCCAGACAAGGCATTAACACTCCTGTCAACAAATCATTCTTTAATTAAGGTTATGTAAAGTATTTCATTGAAACACTTTTTTATTTTAATTGTTTTTCCATGTAGTGCAATCTGAAAGACTTTGAGACACTGTATATTCCTGCTGAATCCAGAAGGGTTTAGTGCTGTCCCCATGGAGGTATAAAGATAACTAGTTACAGTCTTGGAAGCGGACCCTGTTCAATCCTATGAAAGTTGCACAGTGACTCTTGCAAGCTAAAGTACCCATATCTGAGCCAATAGAGTATGCACACTTGTGTTTTCCTTTTCCTTTGCCCCGCCTCCAATCCACAACGTCATGGTCGGTATCGGCTGGTCTTGCTCAGTCAAATTAATGGAGAGGGAAAATTCGACTTATAGCGCGTTATAAAACCATTATGGCCTAATGACTTTAATATAATAAGGGCCCTCAAGTGTTTGGATTCCTAAGTTGGATTCTTTCACAAAGACTTATCCGCTGATTTACAGATGTCTCTTTCCCAAAACGTTTTTTGAGGCCAAATGATGTCACGGACTAACACAGGGGTGTAGTACCACTGTTTGGCCACTACACAACAATTAGTTCAACTTTGGGCACACTTATAGAATCTTTAATGGTGACACATGCAGAGCACACAGCACACGCAGTGTCCGGTGCCTTGCTCAAGGGCACCACGGCAGGGCAGGAGCTGAACTGGGACCTCTCCAAGTAGCAGTCCACACTCCATATTTAGATCTGGTCTGGGACTTGAACCGGCGACCCTACGGCTCATAGTCCAAGCCCCTACTGACTGAGCCACTGTCTTTTTGAACGTTTCACGCACACTTTCCGCGAGTACGTTCGCATTCTTGAAGGAATTACTCACAATTTGAAGCATTTTGAAGCTTAACACTGGGTTATCACAGAAAGCATGGGATATATATATATATATTTATATTGGGTATATCGGTACTTGTCTTATCTTAAAGAGTGGCATGATATTAAAGTTGGACAAATTTCAAAGAATGTGAATGTTTTTCATCAACTGGACATGCTTGGATGAAACACAGCTACATTTAGTAATACGAAAAAATAAGCCAAATATGTTGCCTTTAGAAACAAATGAAGCAAAACTACTTTAAAAATTACACAATTAAAATAAATTAGAAATATTTTCTTTTAAAAAAGGGGAATGACACACGATTGATTTCCCCAAGAATTCTAAAAGATTATTAATATAATTTTTTGAGAGAAGACTTATGTTAGTTGTGCAGCAATCCTTTTAAGGGGAGTGTGTCATCCACCAGATCCATAGTCATTTCTCTGAGCTAGTGTCGCCACAGATTAGTCAACATAACGCCCCGTGAAACACACACCGCGGGACACAGCATTGTCTCATCGAGAGCGTGTACGTGTGTGGGTGATAGAGTGATGCGTTTGTCCTCTGTGGGGTCATGAAGTTAACGGCTATAACCAACATCATAAAGACTGATCACAGGAAGACACACACACACACACACACACACACGCTAACATAACAAAAACACATTATCTGCCTCACATACTGCAGATCAATCCATCACAGAGTGCTGCAGGTAAACAGTGTTACTGTGGAAGAGTAGGAGAACTGTAAGAACATTTAACCATCTGGTGCCCTCGTTTCCAAGTCAGTGAGGTTTTTTAACGCAGTTTTGGTTAGAAGCCTGAAATAAGACCTGTGTTAACAAAAGCTGAATAGATCTTCAAGTTTTGTTTAACGATGTATAATACATGAGTAAATACCCCCACTGGGGAATGTTTGAAGATGTTATGTTTCATAAAACAGTGGTTGCTAACAACTGGCTAAATGAGACACCATCCGCCTTTAGTGCAACAGGCGTGATGGGAAGTCATGTTACTGTGATGTAGGTAATGTATAGCCCAACATGTACTTTAGGTCATTTCATTTACCATTCAAAAATTATAAAAGTGGTGCTGAGATTATCCTGCCAAAGAAAACGTCTAAGTCAGGGGTACTCAAATACAAATCTTAAAGGTCCAAAATAAATGTTTCAATAAGACAAAGGTCCGTTTATCACGGTCATTCAAACTTTTAAACTATTACAACAAGATTCTTAACACGAGGTTGCAAAAACAAAAATAATCTGTATGCAGCAGTTTTCATTGTTATTGTGTCTGTGCTTGACCCCTCAGAGTCGCAGTGTAAGAGCTGCACAGTTATGAATAAAGGCAGCTGCACCCTCTTTCATTCAGCATTCCCATTATTGCTTTATAAATGTATTCCCCCTTGTGTGTCCACTGAGGTTCGTCAGGCCCAACACATCTTCAACAAACTCCCCCTTTGCCTCATCATACAAACTCACAAACACCAGCAACTGAGCATTGTCAGTGGTGTCAGTGGACTCACCCACAGCTAAGGAAATGCACTGTGCATTTTTTATTCCATCATAAAGCTGATGAATCAAATCACCAGCCAGTATTTATGTTCTTCTGGTTGCTGTGCAATCTGAGAGGGGATTTGCTTGATTTGACCTGTTATTTCCTCTTTTTGTTTGCCTTCAACATGGTCTCCATCACTTCAGTCATGCATTCTTTTATACTGCAGTTATTATCCAGTGGAAAGCCCTTACCTACTGGCCTAGTTCAATCAAAGTGGTTACTTTTTTTTGGCTGGGCAGTGTAGTTTTACACACCGTCTTATTTGACTTTCTCAGGACTTAAAACAGTTTTTTGGGGGCAGACCCCCTCAAAGAAAAAAATATATTTACACACGTAAGGTCATCATCTTAATAGTTGTGTATGCTCATCCGTGAGCAGAGCATCAAGTTGGCATGTCTATTACAGCTGAATGCGGCGATTACCATTTTGTTCAGCAAAACGCCTCACAAACGTATTAAGATCAACAGCTTTAGAGCGTTTTGATTCAATGCTGAGTACAGCCACACTGACAGTCTCTTCTCTGTCAGTGTAGACCGCAAATACCTCATTCCTTCAGCGCTTGGGTCCGAATGCTTCTCGTTTTGCGCCGTCCAGTTAAAAATGAAATCGCCGGCAATCATATGTCCACGCTCGCGCCAGGACCGGGGGAGGGGTTACATGACGTGCATCTTGTGCTGCATTCACTTGCACTCGGACATTAGAGACTTTCTCTCATAAATGTCCGATGAGCCACAACTTTTCTTTCAAAACAAAGCTG